TTATTGGCGCTTACTAGTTAAGACATCAAGATGTCTGAGATGACGCAATTGATTTGTGAACTACCTTGCAAAACGTAGTAGAGTGTGATAGAGAACAGTGCGGAAAACAGATTCATGGGCACTTTTCTGACATTGCTTAGAGGGTTTTTCGAGAAACCCCTTTTGCTGCGCAAAGTCTTTCAACTATAGCCTTCCTCATCAATCAAAAACTTAAGCTTCGGAAAATCAAAAAAAAAATCCTTTATTTCTCGCAAAGGCCACTTGCAACGTTGTAGCAGAGAAAAGAAAGAACAAAGTTTCATATGCTCCGAGCGCTCATACTTCAGTGTACAAAAGTTTGACTCTAGGCTATCACACCATTAGATTGGGTAAATTTTGTAGAATCAAGTGTGTACTTGTTTTCCAGGGCGGTCTTTGTACGGCGCCGTAGGAGACAAAAAATGATATTCTGTTCCACATGCACAGTGCGTTATTGTGAGGGCATTTGTTCTTTGTCCAAAAGTTTTGTTTCGCTTTGTAGATTTTCAGGCTATGTGTTGAACCGTAGAAGAAACGTTATTCTCTTCTTCTCTAGTTTAAGCCTTTCAATTTTAATTTAGATTACTAAATAAACCCTAAAATAATGCCAAATCCAGACAACCTAAGTCTATACACGAAGGAATATGAATGAGTTGAGGGGAATCTTGAAGTGTCGGAGTGATATTTTTTTGCCGAATTGCTTTTTCTGAGAGAATGACATCCTAATTTCAATGGAAAAGGTTGCACTCTACTTATAAATTACGTTTGCGCGGTCTACCAAATGCGTACTGCATCCCTCGCACATCCTGGCCGGCAAGCAACGCACAGAGTGTTTAAGGCTCGATGTTATTTTTCCTGCTACCGTCCAGCAAAACTGTGCTTTCGAAAATCAAGCATAGCATTGTAATCGCTGAAATTTACGCTATCGAGTGGTTATCAATAGGTGAAGGAAAGCTCTCTGTCTTGCGAAAATTACGCATGTGTGAAACAAAAGATCATTTTCTAAGCAGATGAGTTGTAAAAAGACCTTTCTAAGAACAGATAATCTTTTGAAGTTTATGGGTTTCACGCTATTGGGTAATTTTTAGCAATCCAAGGAAAAAACTTGGTGGTGCAAAATATAGGCGCGATTATGCGCGAGAGCGCTCAACGCAGGTGAGGCGCGGAATTATTTTTAGTGTTACAGCGCTATAAAAAAATTTTGAGATTCAAGCCCACTGCTGGTTTGACGGAGAGTTTTACCAAACAAAAAACTTTTTCTTTTTGGCACTTCATTGGTGCGTCATAAGGCTTCTTTTCACACTGCGAATCTCAATACTCTGAAGATTGGATCACTTTTGTTCTCCTTCTTGAACGTCGTAGGATACTTTTAGGTTATGGCCGTGGTGAGTGACACATGTTACCAAGAACGAAAACTCTTTACGTAAATAGCATTTGAGCCAACATGCCAAGTGGCCTGCTAAATGGGCTGGCTTATATGCCCAATACAGACTGAGCGCTTGAAAGGATTGGCTAAAGATAATGGGCAACTACCCGACTGACGAGACGGTGAAGGTCGAAACGCGTGTATCTGGCTCGATAGGTCAGCCCATTTAACAGGCCACATGACATATTGGTTCAAATATTAATTACAAGATAAGTTGAAATTTGAGCGTGGTCTTATTATGAAAAGACTCAGAAAGAAATGTATGAAAACCATAAGATTAACAGTTAACCGAAAGGAACGAATTTGCTATTTAAATTCTTTTTCTTTCATTGAGTAGTACTTGGCCGAGGAACATTAATGGAAAGCAGGGTAATTATTAAAATGTTCGCGGTAAGAAGTTCTATGTAAATTATGAAAAGAATAATTTCAGTTGCTGAGCGTACTCTTTCAAACATCATATACTGTGAGATGTCCAACAGTTTTCATCCTCTCCTTCAATCGGTTAATAGCAGTGATTCTTCTAAAAAAGATGGACTATATATTTGTTACAAAGAAAACACTGATACAATACTTCATGGATTATTTATTCGAACGAGATTGTTGTGCTCATTGTTGACGAATGGCGTTTAGATGTCTTTATTATTGTGCACTCTCTTTGGTGCTCTAAGGCATCTTTGTCTTTCTGAAGAAATAAAAGTGTCGTGGGATCCATTTAACGTAGATTTCTACCTTATAAGTAAGCTTGACAAAGCTACCACTCAAAAATCCATTATTTTAACTGCTTTTTTCGCAATGTTGTTATGTTTCATATATACTTAAGCGAAGTGAGTGCTGAGCAATGATACGGCCTCAGACGGGAGTCGAACCTGCGTTTCATCCATATCGGGGACGCGTGCTACCATTACACCACAGAGACATATTTGCGTCACCACTCGATCTTCAACATCTCTATGTTATTGCAACAATTCAAAAGTTCGACTTTCCATAAACCTCGGCATAATTAATTGTTATAAAAAAATCGAGAAAACTTATCTTGAATAGCTGACGCGAGGTTGGTAAATTAGTCGTAGAAGTTTGGCTGACGTTTCGCCGACCCGCCTTCTTTCTCTATGTTAGCTGCCAGCCACCATTCTTTAACAGGTTTGGTCCGGTATGCGGTTTCGCTTTATAAACCCAGTTGAGCTGACACCCACTGTTAGATATGATACTCGAGAATGCTAGTATTTTTACTGCTTTTTTCGCAGAGTTATTTTGTTCCGCATATACCTAAGCGAACTGAGTGTTGAGCAAAAATACGGCATCAGATCAGATGGGAGTCGAACCCGAGTTTCACCCGCACCGTTGAAGCGTGATTTTTACTAGTCCATTGAGGTCAGCGCTTTGTTACAACTCTTTGTTCCATTTAAGCTATCAACTGCCAGCTACCAACCTTTCAAGGAATATGGTAGCAAAGCGGTGGCTTCGGTGATGTAGCGATAACACAGGCGCCACTATGGGTGGACGCGGGTTCAAATCCCGCTTGAAGTCATGTTTTGTATATCACTAAGTAATGTTCGATATATATTTGCGGTATCATGACACTGTTATAAAGCGGTAAAAGTAATGCAATCTAGTAGATTAATGTTTGTGATGGCTCTACACACTACATCTGTGCACGATTTGCGTCGCATGCACTTGATTAAATAGTGTACCAGCAGACAGATTTAGGTTGAAAGTTTGATGTTCCAGATGCCTAGGCCTGCAAAAAATAGTAAGAACTGTGGTATAAGTTTTCCATTTTCTAGTTTTTGCAGACGAATCGTCTATCAGTGCCATCTTTATGCGCTCTATGGACTTTCACAGTGGTGAAATTATGTACGCTACAAGTTTCGTCATCTACCCAGTCATCATCGTATTCATACTGTTCAACGTATGTCAATGTTGCTACCTTCCATTTATCAATTTCTAAACAGCTCGTTCTCCTAAAACGTCCGATAAAATACGCTATACTCTAAGGAAAGTGATGGGTTCATTTGCGCACATTGCAGATGAATGTAATCACATCTACTCGTGTTGAAATTCCGCTGATGCTCAATTCTTGTCAGATATCACTATTTTCGTCATTATACATTTATTTATAGCATCAATCACTTTGACTCCAACCACTATCGCCACATCATTAATATCTTAAGGATTATACGCTTCGGTAAAACATCCATTTTACTTCTGACGACAAACAGGTACGGTACAACATTACACATATAGCAGTTCTTTGGTTTGCGAAGTTTGAATGTCGTCAACAGTGCTCTATGACATTATATATATATATACATATATATATATATATATATATATATATATATATATATAGACTTTTTGAGCTTTCGAAGGTTTGATGTGGATTGCCTTACGTACGTTTGGACGCTCTCGTCCTCCTCGTCGGAACCACAAGCCCCATTAGTCTCCCCAACTGATAAAAGGAAGAGAGAGCATATTTTGGTCCAAACAATGTGAAACATTCTTTCAACCATTTTTTGATTCATTGATTCCCAGCTGCTATTAAGCTTATAAACATTGCTTTTCAGCCAACTGCTTTTTTAACACTTCGTAATAAAAATTTGATAGATGTGAAAGTGAAGTAGAGGTGACTAGTAGGCGCGTGGATTTGATAAGGCCCACCTAGAAAGTCTTAGAATGCCTCGTGGAGCGGAATGGCATGTCTTCGCGATAATCGTACCACTGATTCGATGCAAGGCTGACTGACGTTTTAACATTTTCACCTTGTCAGATTGACATGAAATCCGCTCTGTCAAACGCTTTCGTAGCCTTAGTAAAAATGCCTTGCCTAACGAATTTTTGTTTTATTGCTTGATCAATCTTATTAATAGAAAGTCGGTCCAGGAAATCGAAATAATCATGCCACAGCGTTCATTTGAGTGGACATTTCTTGAGTAGAAAAATAGCTTTTTCTAATCTAAACGTTATCACCACTTGTCTTCTGTTGACTACCAAGCTGGTGCTGGGTGCTGAAATTCAAACATTGCTGTAATTAGTAATCACCAATCGGGTGCGCAAATTTTCGGGAGATACCCTCCGCTATGGATCACACTAAACTGGAGCACAGAGAGGAGTGCGTAAAATAGTGTATTTCCATTCTGTGACTTTACATGGCTTCAATATTGAGAACAACAAAGAGGGAGGGTGGGAGGGCGAACAAAGCAAAGATTAAGATTAGCAGTTTTGAGGCGTTTGGAAAAAACGACTGAGTGTCTTCTGAGTCAAGGAAACAGTAGACATGAACGGTAACTTTTGAATTATCACCAGTACTCACATTACTACTGAGCGTTGAACGAATGCACATCTCAGAAAAGCAAAGAAGAATCAGTCATTCACTTGCTGACAAAATTCCTTTATGCAAACTTCATTCGCATGTCATTCTATCTTCTGAGCCGAGTTCTTTGTGTTGTTGCAACAAGAGAGACATAGTTATTGATTGATGAAAGAAAATTTCTTACCTTGATTAGGGTTATAGAACTGTGTGGAAAATATCATATATGCCTAGGAGAATTAAAAATAGGACCTTAAACAGGAGTCGAACCAGCGGTTCATCCATGCCGGGAACGTGTGCTACCACTGCACCACCGTGGTACATTCGTACCACCACTCATTCTTCAATATCTTTAGGATAGCTGTCAGCCACCAAATCAACGAACACGTTTGCTATTTTTGCTCACCACTCAATTCTCTTAGGTGTATATGAAATATTATAACACCGCGAAAAAAGGTAGTAAAATACTAGTTTTGAATGTGTGGGTTTGTACCGACTGAATTCAATAGTTACTGCATTACTGCCAAAACTGCTAGCCAAAAAGAATTTGTCATGAACTTTAGTTCACTTGTTATAAGTTCAATCTGGAGTCTTTCAAAATTTCTCTCGCATTTCAATCTTCCAGTTCTCTGTTTACCCGATGTCTGATTAATCAGAGGCAGGAGGGAATTAATCCCAAAGAGAAATCGATTTAGATAGCATAGCCACTATCTGCGACAGCCACTAGAGAACGTCGCATTTCTGCTTTATCATTATTCCGTAAAGAATTGCGTTCGACAAGCAAATATTTCCATCTCATCGAGGATAAAGGACTCTATACGCTGATAGCAACTTTTTACAGCAATATAAACTGTTACTGTGCTTAATTCATCTTTCCGGAACAGGTTGCTGTAGCTGATGTCTCAATCAACTCGCTTATTTCACAAAGTAAAGACAGAACCATGCTGTTGACATAACAACACAAAGATCAATTGGTTCTGATCAGGAAGTATGAGATTTATTCCCGTACTACTGGTATGCTGCTTGATTTAATATCGCTCGGCTCAGCCAAATCTTGTGATCAATCTGATTAGTAACTTGATAGACTACGAAAGCATTAGCTGATGATATAAGTTATACTGCCTGTTGATGTAAAAACATCAGCCAAACTGAAATGAAGGCTATGAGGTAGAGAACCTGAACAGGGAAAAGATCTTTTTTTGGACGCTCACGCAGTATGAAACTGATATAAGCAACTCAAATGAAGTACGCTAGTACAGATGTTCTAGATGAGTAATTTAAGTGATCAAGAACAGCGTCTCAAAGGACGTCATAAACCTAGGAGAAGTCAAAGGCTTATAGCAAACGATCTTTTACTTATTGTTGAAAAACACAATGATGAATGACAATCCTTTTCTTGTAGTCGAAATGATGAGTGTTCATCGTCAAAAGGGCGTAAACACCTCAATAATCTAGTATTCTCTTTGAAATAGAGAGTCTCATTAAAAAGTGATTTGCTTGAAATATACCTTGATTAAGACAGATACCGAGTAATTTCAAATATTGAAGAAGGTGAAAGAGTCGCACCGCGATAGTGAGGCAATGTATAAGGAAGTAAGGGTATAAGCAAAGCTGGTTCAATCCCCTTCTCAACACTCCATTTTAATCAATCAACTTGAGCACCTTATATCGAAAATTTGCAACAAAATTAGAGTCGACCAGCATTCTATGACATTCATAAGAAAGACGAAAACCCCAAACAGTAACCTAAAAGCAGACCAAAGGTTCAAAGATCTCTGCGGAGAACGGGGCCATCAGGAAGCAAATTACGGCTTTTCTTGGCTATCTTAGAAGGTGCCAAGAGATAAGTCGAACCGGCATCCTTTGACACTGATCAAGAAATTGAATCCTCAATGAAGAGATGAACGCGTGGAGACGAATTCAATGCTAGAAGTACTGGTATCCGTTCAGTAAAACCGTGAAACGGGTCGTGTGTCTGTGTTTGTGGAGTGTGTGCGAAAAAACGACTTGAATATCAGAAGTGCTAGGATTCACACATTGAATCATGACAATGGTTCTGTTAAAATAGATAAAAGTTATTTTGATTATTCAGAACATATCGCAGCCATCTCAATACGTGTAAACGGCAATAACAGATCGCGACAACCATGGTTAGATCTCAAATTATATAAATGTGAATCACAACCGAGTTCTGGATGTGAGGTGAATTTCATTGCATCACAGTTCAGTATAGTGTGGCTGTATAAGTTTTGTTGACTTCAATAATAAGGCATTCATGATGAGTACTGAAATCAACGTATAAGTAAATGAATGCGCGTTCGTTCGCGCTTGTGTAAATATTGTAGCCTTTCTCATAATCACTATCCGAGCCAACATGTCATGTGGCCTGTAAATGAGCCACTGTACAGCCCGATATTACAAAGATATCAGCCAGAAGCAATCGAGATTCAAGTTTGTGAGGATTGTACATGTTTGTGAGATAATAAAATGTTTGTACTAAGTATACCTAGTCTTCCCTTTCATATTGATTATTTTGCTTGCGCCACTAACTGAGGAAAACAATTCTGCTCAGGGGCGTTACCATTCAAAGTTCAACATCACCGCATCATCAAGCTCAATTAAAGTCTCTATAACGAGCAACAACAAGAAATATAGGAGACTTGGTGATTTTCTGAACGCAGTCTATAGATTTGTAATTTACTGCGGAGATTCAGTAATAATGGAAATCTAAAGCGTAAAAACATTCCGTTCCATGTAGATGTTGAATTTTTGTTATTTGCTGTCGAATATTTTACTAAATTAACTCTTCCTGTTGGGCTATAATGGCTGTTTTGAACAATAACTTTGCATCGCTTAGAATTATGAACTTTTACGCCTAACAAGATCTCAAGATATCAATGGAAACAATAATGTTTCAGTCCCATTAGAACTCATATGAAGTCTTTGATAATGTTTTTAGCCGTTTTCCAAGGTTTGGCTGCAAATTCACAGGTTGCAACAGTCTTGCAGACACTCTTCATCAAAGATGCTGAGAAAACGGCATTGATGATGGCGAAAGCGCCGAAACAAGCGTGTTTGCCGAATTGTTCAAGCGGATAAATTTGTCACCAAACCTCGAAAATACGCCTAAAACCATGCCAAAAGAGACATGAAGTTCTAGCGATGTCTGTAACAAACAGTCGATTAAGGAAGGTATCATATTACAATGCAGAGATGTACATGCTGTGATATTGAAACCGATTGATCAAACAAATACATCTTTTGAAAATAATATTGGAGATATGGTGAGCTAAATTAGTACATAAAAACAGTGAAAAATGCAATAGAAATACGATTTTATATGATACCGAATAAAATTAAAGAATGTTTTGTTTCTCATTGTTCCGTGTGCATCAATTCGGCTACTATCAAACACATAAACCCAACCTGATATTTCTGTAATATTTCAGTATCTGCTCAAGACTTTGTAGTTGAGCAGGCCGTGGCTGAGTGGTGTGATGGCCGCCGCGGCGCGGCGCGAGGCCTATCCCCACTCCCAACACTCTTCAGCAGTTATTAACGGACGCCCTATGGTACGCCACAGTCAGGCTGTCCTCGAGATTGTAATGAAGAAACAGACGTGCTCAGCCAGTAGTCTGCGACGTTCGAAAAGGCGACGAAAAACGAAGCGAGTGCTAGGAGTTTTAAGATCCGCATATTGATTTAAAAAATTATGAAACGGATCAAACGAATAATAAAAGAGGGCTTTTTCTGCTTAGGAGAAAAAAAAAGAAAAAGCGATCTCAATCACTAGAGAGAAACTTTTTTTTAGAAGTGTTAGCAACTATTCGAAAGCTGAGATATGAAGCTACAACCCCACGTGACCGGTTTTCCAAACATCCACGCTGTATCATTCAAATCAAAGTCATGTTCCATAGTACCACGTTTTCTTCTCTTATCTCGCTTACATTTCGCTGGACAAAACTTGAACCCTAAAGTGAAGCAGTCCAACTGAGGCCCATGCTCTAACAAACTCAAAAGTGTGCTTGCTTTTTGAAAAGCTCTTTTGATCCTTGGATCTCCTTTGGTCTTTTGATTTGTGCTTTAAGCCTCGCCGGACAGAGCACCTTCTTAAGACTATTAGTAATCATCTGATAGGGCAATGTTTCCTGATTCTGGTTATGTGCTTATTTCTGGAAATACGGTTAACGGAAGAACTAAGATCTAGTTTCATATTTTTGCAATATTGCATGGAGGCTATTTTACAAGACGAAGGCCGTGGTAAGGGACGTAGCAGAGACGGGCGAGGCAGGACGATCAATATTTTGTTATATATCTAGGAATTTTTCCTCCGCATTGAAAGAAACTCTAGATAAAACGATTTACTAAATACTACAAAAATACCTCTACACAGTGATAAGCTTATATGCTTCGAGCGAATCATACGCATGATAAAAGTGAAGACAAAAGGCGAGTGTGAAACATAATTTTTGGTTTGGATGCTACAGCGCTATCAAGGAGTGTTTTGAAAAACCGGTGACTTGGAGCTGTAAATCCTAGTCTCAGCTTTTGAATGATAACTAACACTCCTACAAAAAGTTTCTCCACAGCGAATCAAGTTGGACTTTCATTTGTCAACTCCCAATCAGAAAGAACCTAAAAAAGCTGCGGATGAAAAGGTCAATACATGGTCCATTGTTAGATGATACCTATGCAGCAGATCAAAATCGAAATTATCCTAATTCAAACAAAATGAAGTTGTAGACCACCAGATTTTCTCTAATGTCCATTATTATGAGTATTCCGCTTCATTATATGCATTTACCAGCATTCAACAGCTTTCTCTCTCCACACAATTTCGGTCATATACTTTGATTAAAAGCGTGACTGAATCTAATATAGTTTTCAAAGGAAAAAAACCCACTATCATCGATTGGAACATAATCTATATCAATAGAGATGTTTTCAACATGTTATGGTCTTTATTTCCATAATGAGATTTTAGCTGTGGAGCATTGAGCATTTGTAGTCTTTTTTCCGCCGAAGTTCCTATTTCAAGAGTAAGATGCAATGAACTATTCCGATTTTGTTTAGGAGAAAGCTACACTGTTACGGAACATATCTTCCATGTACATGGGTGCTGCGATTATGTTATATGAAACAAGCTAAACAAATAAATTGGTTCTATTAACCTAAAATTAGTTGTACGAATCTAAAGTTTCTTAATGTAGTGGTCGCAAATTTTGCTTCAGGGAAGCAAAATAAAGATCACTCCGCAAAATTACACACAGCCCTACTCATGTCAGGCAAGGCAGAATCTCTTCAATAGGTTTTCTCAGGT